TGAGGCAACCAATGACCTTCAAAGAAATCCACAAAATCCTGAACCCCTGGAGTCCGAGTTTGATGCTGAAACAAGAGACGACCGACTCTAAGCCGACTACCCTCATCAACCCCCAACATGAACTGCCACTTTGCTTCGCCTTCGGGATGGTTCCATGAAAACGCATCACATTGGAGGGTATGCCATTTGGGAACCAGTTCATTCAAGGTAGCTTGGGTACGTGGATTTGGTCGCCTTCGTTCATCACACACATCACATTGAAACAGCTCAGCACATCTCAGAACATCCTTACTAGCCCCTCTACGCTTCAGACTAGCCTTAAGATACTGTATACTGCAGTGTCCTGTGGCAGTATGAATCTTGCGCAGATTCTGGAAAATGCGCTTTCGCGTCTCCCGGGGAATGTCCTGGATGCCCTCAGAGGGAGTCTCGCTGGACTGGTCCGGCTCACTGGTCATGAGACACACATCGCTACCACCTTGAAGTTCTTTAGCAATCTCAAACCAGCTCTCCTTCCTCTGAAGATATCGGACCACTCGACGTGCAAACTCCCTGGTATAAGCCATGGCGTCACCCCTTGGATACGTAGTGGTCCTATCCATGGTATGCTTCTGATCGCACTGAAGGGCCAAATTCTGAATCAGAGCCCCGTCACTACTAACCAAGCCCCAACCTTGACACTGAAGAACCCTCTGAAAATTCCTGCGATTCACCTGGCAACCCTGACACACTCCCTCATACAGCTCACGCTCGTGAACTAGGGCCTTGTACCAGCTTTGATGCCAGAGCTCGCAGTGCTCAGGACTTCCAAGGACACATGTGGTCCCTGCCGATGTTGCTGCCCGAAAGATCCTATGGATCCCTTCATATTGTCGATCAGCTTGTTCTCGTTTGGCCTGGAGCCTCTTGGATTGCTCGGAACTGCGTTGGTTCATCCGTTGTAAAGGAGAGTAAGCCTGGCTATCAGGACTAAACCACACTAACCTAGGACACTCTTCCTGAATCACCCTTTGGATATACGCTTGTCCCTGAGCAGTCTCAAGATCCCCACCGTTCCAATGAGAAAGCTGAATGGCAGATCCCTTTCCAAACACCCTTTCACACTCCTGAATGAGACAACTATCCTCTTGACCCCCAATCTCAAGAAGCATCACCCTTTTCCCTTCCAAAGCCTGAACCTCAGACAATAAGGCTTGATCATAACCCTGCCCTATACTCCGAGCTGTTTGGAAGGAAAGCTTCTGGAAAATACCGGGTCCTAGGTTCTGCTCAGCATCATCAGCAAGGTCCTCATCGTCGTCCTGGAGGTCGCTCTCTATGAATTGACTGCTGGTCCCGCAGTCTTCTTGGCCGTTGGCTTCCGGTGATCCAATGGCTCGCGATTGCCCATCTCCTGACGTAGTCGGGAGAGCTCGTTCTCCAGCTCCTTGATCCGGTTCATTGCTTCTTCTGGAATCATCTCCAGGTCTTGATTGACCTCCTGGGCCATCTCCCAGGATGTCTCTGAACCAGACGCGGCGCTGGGTGCGCTCAGCCGTTTCGCCGCTGCTGCCTTCGCTGGATAGCTGGGATTCCATGGCTGTCCGATTCGGGCACGGATTGTCTCCTTCTCGCTCATGGAGATCCCTTGGGCCCACTGCGCAAACCTCAGGAGCCTCCAGTGACTCTCTGGATTTTCCACTGCGGTGCTGATGCACCACTTCGTGTACTCGGGCTTCTCCACCACCACTTGTTCGTAGGTCATGTCCGCGTGCTTGCCGAAACCCATGTTCTCCCGACCGGAAGGTGTCACTTGGTTCTCCATGAGGTGCTTGTAGATCTTGCTCTTCAACTGGTCGATTGTCTGGGAGGGAGTGAATTCCACCCTGTGCGTCTGCAGCAGTGCCTGTAGCTCTACCTTGCGTTTGCAGCGGTTGATGGTCTTCACCACGTCGCGCTCGGTCATCACGGTTGCTGTGCTGGTCTCCTCCTCTGCCAGCTCCGCCAACCGGGCTGTCAGCTGAACCTTGGTCCACGACGTGGGCGGATTCTCGCCCTGCTGTCGAAGACGATCCTGCATCTCCTTCTTTGTTGGCGTTGCCGTGGGCATGGTGCGGACTTTGGGATGCACGGGTCACAGGATGAGGCGCTGGGAAGTCTTTGGGCTTCTTAGGCTGCAGAAGAGAGGAGGGTTTCGAGAAGGGAATCCTACGGGGAATTGGGACTCCATACTTTCTTAAGAGGGCTCTGTCAGTGGCTCCTACTTTGTGAACTCCGCCTATGGAATAACCAATCATCACAAGTCGATCCCCACTCCAGGCCTCAGTAGCGTGCCATCTCTGAGGACACAACTTCACGATCTCACCTAATGATTGAACCCTTCCCCACACCTCTTGAGCACCACACATCACCTGTTGACTTCCACTACCTGACATCTCATTCTCCTCTAGCTGAGTCCATATTCCCCCGCCTTCATCTGGTTTAATCAGTGTCGCCACCTCATTGCTGGAGCCTGAAAGATTGTAGGAGTCACGGTGTGGAGGTGATTTTATGTTACATGAGATACACACAGACGTTCCGCAAAACCCTGGACACAGATGTTGCATCACATCCATCACCACAAGCGTCACATAAGGATACATCTTCGTCACCCTAGTCACTCCCACAATCCCCCCATGCATGTAACATCCAAACACTACATACGCAGGCTCAAGGGTGCTTCCATGGACCAGGTCACGAGAAAAAGGTCGTGCGTTGGCTTCCTGATCAAACAGATGCCATGGAACTCGCTTCAAAAACTGTTGGCGGGCGTGGTTGGATGCCCCGTGCACCCACAGGTGCTTGGCCTCGAGTTCTACTTCCAACTTTAACACACCCAGACTCTTCGGCGATTGCTGTGTAGATCCCAAATCCTGCTTGGTAGACTTCATCTCACAAGTAACATACGCACTATCACAAATAGTATGACAGATTGAATCCAAACTGTACAAAGCTTCTGGCGCTACAGTCTCTTTTTCCTTCTGGTGATCCGTGGCGCCAAGTGCCACCAGAAGGTGCTGTCCCTACTCCACGGCCATCCTTGTCGACGCCGATGCCTCAGCCTTCAAGCCCTTGAACGGTGTGTTCCGAACATAGGCATCTTGGAGAGCATCACCAGCGAGTGGGAAAATCTGGTGTCCACTAGGACTTGTCTCTAGCGTCGTGACCTTGTTGGCGTTGACGTTCTTGAAGATGGCTTCGTTGGTCTCAAAATCGATCACAGCACCCAGGGCTTTAAGCCCCTTGACGCTCAACAGCACTGGCTGGCCTGGAATGTCATGGAGGTGAATCTTCATGCGGCTGACATCTCCGCCCAGTCTCAAGTTGAGCAGTGCTGTAGAGAGGCAGTCGTGGCGACCGTTGTTCCCGAACCTGAAGGAGGGAGCCTCGCTGTTGACGATCTGAATCCCATCATCGCCCTCCTTTTGCCAGTTCAAGGCCGCCAGCTGTTGCATAGCCTCCTCGGAGCCCAAATTGCTCGTGGCTCCGCCGTCGATGATGGCCTTTCCCTCCTTGATGATCTGGTCCAAGGCAAGGAGGTTGTACTCATCTGTAGACTGTGCCGCCAAAGCTAGATTTTCATCCCATTTTGGCTCTGCAGCTGTTCCTGGAACCCCCACCTCGAGGGCATGGAACACCAAGTGTGCCCCTTGGTCTGCACTCTTGGAGTCTCCTTGGTTGGGGCAATCTCGTCGTAGATGAGGTCCGCCACAACTGAAACACTTGAGAGGTGGCCTGGTGCCTCCCATGTTTGATCCCTTCGAACTGAAGCCCTTGCCACCGCCTTTGCCAGAGTAGAACTGGCGGTTCTTCCGCATCATGGCCTGCTTCTCGCGGGCCTCGCGCAGAGTGCGGCGGCCATCTTGGATCGCTGCATAGGCTTCTTGGGCCTCGGATTCCAAGGCCTGGTAGGCGTACTCCTCTGCTGGATCCTCCCATGCCGTAGGGGGCTCCTCTGCCTCATCATCGTCTTCGGCTAACATGGCTGACTCCTCAGTTGTAAACATTGCCCCATGTTTCTGAGAGTCATGGCGTCGTAGTTCCTCGTCTGGCCAGGTCAGCTTCAGCGACTCCTTGACGCGATCTGTCCGAAACTGATTCTTCAGATTGGCGACGATCACGCTTTTCTCGGTGGAGTCCAAGCCTGACCTCTGCAGCAACAGCCACGCTATCACGAAGTCTGGAAGGAACTTCTCTGCTTGCGCGGATGCTGCTTCAGAAACTTCCCACGTCTTCTGGCTCAAGGTTTCCTTCTGTTGCCAGTTGTACCAGCTGCTTCCATGCTGAGAGCTTGTCTCCCATTCTAACGAGGAACGCCATGGCCAGGAATTCCACCAGTCGTCATGCCATGCGCCTTCGTCATCATCATTCTCCGGCTGTTCGCTTGGTGCAGGCTCGGCGTCATTCGGTGGCTCGGACGGTGCCTCTTCTGCTGAAGTTGGAATCCCCTGTCGACTCCCTCCAGCATCTGAGTAAGACCTGTTCCGACGAGACCACCCGCTGCCAAAGCTTCCCGAGTGAGGCGTCTGGGAAGCTGTACG